TTGACTTTTTGAGAAAACGTCAATGAAAATAAAAAATAGGCACACATATCTTTCAATTATAGTCTCAAGCAATTCAGAATGACTTGAAAATATAAACTTTTTTTCTGGAAGTTAATTATAAATAGATTGTGTATCCCTGATCCAAGTAGCAAAATTTTATCCATCAGCCTGATGATTCAGAATAACTTGAAACATCGAGAAAGCGGAATTCGGGCAGATTTTGCCGAAAATATAAACTTTTCCTTTTAGAAGTTAATTATAAATAGGTTACATATCCCTGATATAAGTATTAAAATTTTATTCATCAACCTGATGATGCAGAATAACTTGAAACATCGAGAAAACATAAAATTAGCGAGGCAGATTTTGCCGAAAATCTAAACTTTTTCTTTTGGAAGTCAAATATAAATAAGTTGGGTATCCCTGATACAAATAGCAAAATTTTATTCATCAACCTGATGATTCAGAATTACTTGAAACATCGAGAAAGCGTAATTTGGGCAGATATTGCCGAAAATATAAACTTTTCCTTTTGGAAGTTAATTATAAATAGGTTGTGTATCCCTGATCCAAGTAGCAAAATTTTATCCATCAACCTGATGATTCAGAATAACTTGTAACATCGAGAAAGCGGAATTCGGGCAGATATTGCCGAAAATATAAACTTTTCCTTCTGGAAGTTAATTATAAATAGGTTGCGTATCCCTGATGGCGCAAAATTTTATCTATCAACCTGATGATGCAGAATGACTTGAAACATCGAGAAAGCAAAAAATTAGCGAGGCAGATTTTGCCGAAAATATAAGCTTTTCCTTTTGGAAGTTAATTATAAATAGGTTGCGTATTCCTGATACAAGTAGCAAAATTTTATTCATCGACCTGATGAGATGATGCGGAATGACTTGAAACATCGAGAAAGCAAACAATTAGCAAGACAGATTTTGCCGAAAAATATAAACTTTATCTTCTGGAAGTCAATTATAAATAGGTTGTGTATCCCTGACCCAAGTAGCAAAATTTTATCCATCAGCCTGATAATTCAGAATAACTTGAAACATCGAGAAAGCAAAATTCGAGCAGATTTTGCCGAAAATATAAAATTTTTTTTTTGGAAGTTTATTATAATTAGGTTGCGTATCCATGAAGTAGCAAAATTTTATCCATCAACCTGATGATTCAGAATGACTTGATACATCAATAAAGCGGAATTCGGGCAGATTTTGCCTAAAATATAAACTTTTTCTTCTGGAAGTCAAATATAAATAGGTTGTGTGTCCCTGGCACAAATAGCAAAATTTTATCCATCAGCCTGATGATGCAGAATGACTTGAAACGAGAAAACATAGAATTTGCGAAGCTGATTTTGCTTTCTTCTGGAAGTTAATTATGAATAGGTTGTGTATCCCTGGACCCGAATAGCAAAATTTTATCCATCAGCCTGATGATTCTTTTCTTTTGATGTCAAGTGTGCCTTGCGAACGGTCGAATGGATATAGAAAAATGCCCTCTTGAGGCTTTAACAAAGTCCGGACGAGTTGATAGAACATCTCTGATTGCGATTTCGATTTTTCTTTATATCTTTATTTTCTTTTCCTCTTTTTATATTTATCGCGATTCTCATATCACTTTCAGAAATGTTTGCACTGTTTCAGATTTCACCGTGTACCGTTAAACGATATTGATCGGAAAGTGGTTGTCTTATGGAAGATGGGATTGGGAATGTCGATAGCACTAAATATAAGATATATCTGAACAATTTAGTAGGTTTCGAACTAAAACATTATACATTATGTAGTATTTTATATGGACACTTATTATAGATAAACAAATCCGTAATGTAAAACAACACATTGGAAAATTACAAAAGCCGGCTCGAGGATCATCCAAACCCGCCAGAAAACTTAGCCAAAATACTACTAGAGCAAGATTGAAAAAGTAATTCATGTTGCATTAACATAAGTCAATTTTCAAAATTTCTGACTAAGGTTAGAACATTTTGCATTTTTTAAGTTTTTTTTTAATCGTAAGTCCGTTGTCCATGCCAGGATAGGTGTAAAAATTACTATGCAATAAAACGAAATCCGTAATGTAAAATAATAATAATAAGATATTTGTTTATTTTAACAAACTCACATACCTATATATAAAAATTTTCACACTACTAGATCCAATGCTTTTTTTAAAGTTATCTATGTCTTCTAACTGTAACTCAACTAATAAAGATACTGATATTCATAAAAAAAAGTTAAGTAACTAGGTTTAAGTGGCATTTTATATTAAAATATTTTATAAGTAAATAGTTAAAATTATTTAATTGTCAATAAAATATTGTTAATATTATATCGAATGGGAAAACAACTACTGAGTTGTTTTTCCAACATATGCCCCTTTAGTATACAATGTCCCTTTACTGCCGACTATTGTAAATTCCTCAAATTTATTAAATGTCCTTAACTGGACAGTTGTAAATAAAAGAAATAATAAAAAAGTGGCATTTTATCTTAAGCCATTGTAAGTAGCAAAAATTTTCCGTTAAATATGTGTAAATAATGGACAAAATTTTATTTAACAACTTTTAGAATTGTGATGATGGAAGTATGCAAAATTGGCAGAGCCAATTATAATAATCACACTACTTTTTGGAAGCCGATAACTTTAGCTAATATCTCAGATAAAATAATAATAAAATTAATAAAAATCTTCGAAACAAAAAATTTCAACTATTAATTACAAAGAAATAACCGGGCCAAACACCAATAAGTACAATTTCCAACTGATATCTTTCGAACAAGTATTTATTTAAATTTTCAAAATCGGTTTAGGATTTTTAGCGACATGACAATATTTGCACTTTTTTTCTAATTATGTTATTATCTTAACTAACATCTGAGATAAAATGATAATAAAATTGATAAAAATCTTCTAAAAAAACTTTTCAACTATTAATTACAAAGGAACGACCGGGCCAAATACCAATAAGTACGATTTCCAACTGATATCTTTCGAACAGTATTTAAATTTTCAAAATCGGTTTCGGATTTTCAGTTACAGCGTGGATGAAAAATTTTACACTTTTATGCTAATTATGAAAAAACGTGAGCTCTACATTTAATTTTTTTTGACTCACATATACATACAAACTTTTTTCTAATTTTGGTTTGAAACTATTCAGAATGAGTTGTTAAATCATTGAAATTTCAATTGAAACGTCGAAAAGCCATAAAATTAACAAGCCAGATTTTCTGGCAAAAACATAAACTTGTCTTTCGGGAAGTTAAAAGTTTAAGCTTAATATCCACCAGAGTCAGGGGTGCTTTGATATGCACCTATAATAAACTATAATAGACCCATTTTCTAAACAATTTTACCTATTAATAATACTATATGATTTGAATGAAGCCGATTTATAATTGCAGGAAATCAGGTACTATCAATAGATCAAAGCAAAGTGCATCAACAAGATTCCTAAGGCGGTTAAGATTCATTAAATATTCATTCCTTATTGACTTAGCGGCGATAATAATAGTATAATAACCATCTCTGCCATAAACTGGTATATTTCAAAGAGTTCAGTACACAAGGATCAAGTTGAACAAGACTTTTCATAAGCCATTGAAAAAGGAAACACATTAGTGTTAATAATAAAAAGATGAAAAATGGACGTTTGAAAAAAGGACGAATATATAATTATAATACTTAATTATATATTTCTGTTTTAAATGATTTTTGGCATAAACATATGCTTATATGTTTAAATTTAAAAAAAAGTTTCATATTTAAAGAAAACAACAAAACATCATCACTTTTGATTTGTTGTTTATAATATTAATTAAATAAACGAAATTCAATAGAGTGAGAAAAGATAATAATATAGTATCTGACCATGTGTGTGCATGCATATGTGTGTTCACATGAAATTATAAATGTATACGAATGGGTCCCATATATTTGACATGGGCGATACTGCAGTAGCTACATTAAGTATTCACAACATAAAATAATTAGATACGATACGATAGATTTACTTACTTTGTCATAGATTTTCACTCATTGTTGTAGATTTACACTCATTGCAGTAGATTTACTCCCATTGTAGTAGATTTACGCTTATTGTAGTAGATTATAAATCACTGGATCAACACTCGTTTAAATTTACACTCCCTAAAAGTGGATTTACATACATTATATATTAGCACTCAAAATAGTCATGAAATGTTTTAGCTTTGCACTCACTGTAATAGATTTACATGTAACAATTTCATTAATAATTTAGAAATTGGGTTTTTTTTGACTACTAGTTTAAAACAAATTAACGATTTTAACCAATGTTTTATATAATACAAAAAATTGAACTTTTATTTTTAATTCTAATTTACTCTCAATCACACTATATTTATTTTAAATGTTTGAATTTATTAGACTTTCTATGTATTTAAGACCAACAAAATTTTCAATATGCTATTACACTGCTGCCATGGTTAAATAAATTATTTTAAAACAAAATATTTGAACAAAGAATAAAAAATAATGTGAACAGTGAAAATATGACAAATTTATAAAAATTGCTTTAATTTTATCATAAAATTTCTGAAGAGACTGGCAGTAATGGTAACATGTGCAGGTTTTATGTAGGTTTGCCTCCTGCTAAAATTCCTAAAGAACTAAAGACTATTTATTCCAACCCAGTACAACAAAAATGTAAAAAAAATATCTACCATAACAGGTAATACTTTAGCAAAAAAAGCCAAAGTAGAATTTGTGGGAAGTAAACATTTATTTGAAAGTAGAATTAAGAAAGATAATTGCAATAATTGAGTTGGGCTTGGAGTTCCATTTATTGCAGTTTGAATTCTAAATCAGACTGATTATGAACACAAAACATAATGCAATATAAAATTTAATTTATAAAAAAAATTGTACTATATTTCAATTGTGCAACTGCAAAAATCACCAAATAAATAGCTTACTGATAAAACTTTGAATTAAATGAAACGCTTATGTAATTTTTTTTATAGGGTTTATTTTATAATTTATAACAAAAGATGAATCCTATGCCTTATATTCTGGATGGGAACAGCATCTGAAAAATACAAAAATTGTCCTTAGATTTGGTCATCAAAATTATTGAATAGCATAGAACAAAAATGTATGCTCAGTGAATGTTTTCCACACCAAATATTCAGGTTTCAAATGTCAAGGCATCATTGCATGATCCTTTCGGTGATGTGCTTCAGAAAAAAAATTGGTTAGGTACTAATTTAATACATAATAGTATGGTAGGAAATTACATAATAGAGTAATTCTTTGAGTATGAAGAGTCATTGAAGTTTCAAATGTGTTATTTGAACCAAATTATTAACATGTTACCAAAAATTTAAGAGGATAAAATATATATAGAAGCAACTAAAAAAATAAATGTTTTAGTTAATTCAGTTTCATAAAGGCAGAACTAAATATTAAATTAATATTTAGTAACAAATGAATATCAAAATTAAAAAAGAATTACATTAAGAAATTAAGAAATCAATGGGGCGCATAACTTTTTCTCAAAACCTTTTTGAAAAAGAAATTTCAGATAAGCAATTGTGATCTTTCTAAACCATTAACAAGACAAGAAACATATTACAATAGTATAAATACAAAGTAACTATTAACTTATTAATAAACTTTGCAATAATTGCACTAATTGGTAGATAAGAATTTAAAGTGTTATCACTTACTATACGAACACGATGACCCATTGCTTTTGCTGGAAGGTTTCTGTGGAACTTGGCACGAACACAACCAGAGCATCCATGTGGCCGTGTTACTTTGCCCCAAATAGCGCGTACTTTTGATTTAACCTTCTTTGGTTTGCCGGGTACGCAGGTCTTGTTCTTAGCTTTGTACACAAATACACATCGTTTACCAACATAGAACCAGCTATCGGCTTTGGTACCACAACCTTCAACCTGAAAAGTAAAAAATATTAGATAATTTTAATTTTTATTATTTTTGTTATGTTAGAATAATTGTGCACTCAGTAAAGCTTTTCAACAATATATTCAGGTTTCAAATGTCTAGACATCATAGTAAATCAGTAAAATGTTATTGTGATATGACATAATCTTCAATCGGCTTACAAATAGATTAGAGAATACATTAAAAGCATATTAGTCCAAATTGCATCAAGCATTTGGCATCATAGTGTTGGGTAAGTAGTTAAATGAATTATATTTACTTAAAACGTATTGACCAAAGACCGCTTAGACTATTCTCAAAGTTTCAGTATTTTGTTAGCAGATTTGTAAAAGGCGTACATATTGAATTGTACAGACACATGTTTTATCAGCCATGAAGCAATGATATAAAATTAGGTTATGTCGTCTACAAAACCAAAATTGAGAGCAATATTAATATTACCTTCAAGAGAGCTGTGTTTTCATGCTGATTCCTGAGACCTCGTTTGTATCCAGTGAAAATAGCTTTAGCATAAAGTCTTCCATGACGTTTAAAAGGTCGCCTTTTCAATGCAACAGGCTCACCTTTGGGTGCTTTAGTTTTTTTTTCTAGAGGCTTTGCAGCCTTTTTCGTAGTTGTGTCGGCCATACCTAAAAGTTAATGCAGTTTGATTAATAACAATCCTTTTGTACACCACTGTTTGCAAGCACTATCATAAGATGTCACAAAAATCTTCAAACATCTGACAAATTTGGAATCACATAAAAAGCATTTTGATATATTATATTAGTAATAATTTATCTATCGAACCTAATAATTATTTACTTTAGAACTACGATCTTCAATTAATTTAACTAAATTATATTTTTATTTCTAAGTTTCGGTACATACCGGATGTCTATCTTTGACCAAAAGAGCTGTAAAAGAATTTTGTTGGCACTTCTGTGCTCGGTCTGCCATTTTACAGCCATATCAAAGACTATCAATCGGTGAGGTCTGCGACATATCTAAGTCATTGTTGAGAACCAATTATTCATTAATTATTAATAAAATTTAGAAATACATACTTATAATTTAATATTCTTTTAATAACAGCTTTTTAAATACGTTAACATTCACAAAAAAACAATCAATTTTATATACTTTTTAGAGTATAGTAAAAATTAAAGTCTTTTACTTGTGATTGGATTTTAATATAATTAATTATCAATCAATTAAAGTATTTATAAAAAAAATTATTTAATTTAAATTCTAAATTCTTCATCTCTCATCAAAATGCACATATTCTTAGAATAAAAATGGTAGTATGCGTAAAATAAATGTATTTATATATTTAATCTATGCTATAGAACGAAACGTTTTAGAAGCATTCATAAAATTAATTTTTCAGTTATGCCAACATTATAAAATTTATTATAACTTTGCGGGAGTTTCGAATGTTAATGAATTAATGTATTAATAGATTATCAATATAAGCAAAGACGTGAAAATGAAATGACATTTAGTTTAAACACAAAGTTATGGATAATTTTTCATTCTACCAATTTTTCTTTCTTGTCTTAAAATATCTATAATCTATATATAATATGCAAGTTATTCAATAGCTAAATATCATCTGATCACATAATCTTGGTTAGAAAATAAATAAAATATAATGCTTGACCGAAGAAAATATAATGCAATTTGTGAAAAGATGTAATTTTTTATATTGGAATAATGTTGAATTTAGCCAAAAAACATTTTTTTCCTCACAAATTTTTAATAAATATAGAGTGCTGTTTTTTGGCACCGATGAATTTTCAGTAACAAGTTTGAGGTTACTTTTTAAAGAATTGTAAGATAAAAATGAAAATATCTTATTATTCTTCACCTATACTATATGTATAAGTAAATTATTTTATATTTTTCAGAGATAATGGTTGTTTAAAGCGTTTAGAAATAGTAACATCAAGTAGCAAACATAGTAAAGGAAATAAAGTTATAGAATTTGGAAAACAAAATAATTTGAAAATACATTCTTGGCCCGTAACTGTACCTTCGCATGAAGAATTTGACCTAGGAATTGTTGTATCATTTGGACATTTAATACCAAAACATATTATTAATTACTTTCCATAGTAAGTTTATGATTGTGTTGAAGTTCATTCCTTTTCAAGTTACATATATAAAGTACCGAAGTTAGTCCGTCAATATTGCATATGTATTTAGAACTATTTAAATTACTTCTTGTAGTGGAATGCTAAATGTTCATGCAAGTTTATTACCAAGATGGAGAGGAGCAGCACCAATTATTCATGCTATTTTAAATGGAGATAAAGAGACGGGTGTTACTATTATGCAAATAAAACCTAATCATTTCGATATAGGCGAGGTATTTTAAACTATTCCTTATTAATAACACAATATTGTTATATTAAAATGTATATATTTTTTATTCCTAACTATGAAGGATCATGTAATCAAAAATCTCAGATTTCATTTATATATTTATATAGAAAGCTTTCATATCAGAATTACAGCATTATTAAGCATGCCTCAATGAACATAAAATCAATTATATTGGTAACATTTAAATGATATTGTTCTTGCAAGGTAATTCTACAAAAGTCAGTTCCAATAGAGGCAAACATTCTAATGCCAGATTTGAAAAATACTCTGGCCAACGAAGGAGCTCATTTATTAATTCAATGTTTAAAGGACTTACCTAGAAATTTATCAAATGCAAAATCACAGTCAAATGATGATGTTACATATGGTAATATTATTATACATAACATCATTCTTTTTTTCATCATCTATTAATATACAAATATTATTCCAGCTCCAAAAGTGAATCCATCACTAGCCAACATTAATTGGAATAATCAAACTGCTGAACAGATTTATAACTTGCATAGAGCTGTGTATAACTTATATGCTCTAACAACTAACTGGCAAGGAGTAAGCATAAAATTATTTGGTTGCAACATTTGCAATCATACAGATTTTGTAATTAAAAATATTCAAAAATCTGGTAATGACAAATCCAGCATTGTTCCATCTCCAGGCTATGTTACTTACAATAAATCTGACAAAATGTTATATGTTATGTGCAAAGACTCTAGTTATGTAACTTTTGACTCTGTAAGATTGTTAAACAAGAAAACAATAACAGCTCAGGACTTTAATAATGGATTTATGAAAAAAATTGATGTAGAAATGAGATATTTCATATGAATGTAGATAAAACAAAAAATTAGTGTAAAATTGAATTCTTTCTTAATCTTTTATTAATACTTATAAAAATATATCTGATTCAGTTGCTTTTGCCATAATAAACAATTTCTGGGGTGATCATAGAGACACTTGTGGTTAATCTTGTTATAATCGGTTCAATTTTATTGTCGCTTAGTGGTGGACTCCATAATCCTTGCAGAATATTTTCTATTTGTCTTAGAGGAGGCACTATTTAGAAACAATATATAAATATTATTAATTAATATATATTGATGTTGAAAATGTTATTTATCAACAGACATTGTCATTTGCAAAAAAAATTGCCTTCAAATAAATCATGCACAAATCTAAATATATACTAGTACAAGATCAAAATCTGATGTCCAATATATACGAAAAAAAAAAATCATACCTTTGAGATTGATGTTCGTAATTTCCATTGTTAAGATAATTATAGACTTCTGTACTAGAGGATTTTCTACATCATCACAAAAAATGTAAAGATTCCGCAATATGTGGAGGAATCTAAAATACATGTTGTCTCAAATAAATAATTAAATACATTAGTAGGTAAAAATAATAGAGACTACTTACCTTATGTAAATCCGGAAGAACTAGAACTTTTTGTTTTTCAAGATCTGAGCGATATTGTTCAATAAAATAACCCCTTTCGTTAGGTAAATTATTAATGTCTTGTTCAGTTACAAATATTGGTCCACTTGTACCTTCAAAGAATTGGTAACTATTATAGAAAAGATACATTTTAGTTACATATATTTTGTGTGATTTCTCAAAATATATGTGTAAGAAGAGAATAAATTACCTATTACAAAATAAAATAAAATTATTTAATTAATTAACATTAGAAATTATTAAACAACTTAATTATCAATGGAAATGGATAATTTCAACTTTTAGATGTATTATCTTTCATTTTTTCAATAGATCCCAAAAATTTGTAAAAACTTCTAATGAAAAATGTAACATGCATAAAGTTATGAATTGAAAATATTTTACTGAAGTATTTCTTCAATAAATCATACCTAAACTTCTTGCTGCTATTTTAGCAATTTCTCGGCTTAAATTTATAGATGCATTGTTTATATCCTTCGGGTGTAAAAATAAGAAAACTGTGGCTTTAATTTGGAATTACGATCTATCACATTATGAAGTCCAGAATATACAACTGACCAAAATTGTGCATTCTGAGAAGGAAAATTGATTTTTAATCTTTCTATATCTTCTTTATAACCATTTATTTTTGATTTATTTAAACAATTATAAAATACAGGAACAGCTATAACCCCAATAATGATCGCAATGATGTAATATTCAAAATTTGGTGGATTTTTTGTTTGTTTGTGTATGTTAATTATGTTTATATTAGCACATTCCTTATCTATATTCCTATTTTTGTATTTATTTTTTCCTTATTTCTTCTATTTTGAGATTCAGAATGTCTTTTATCCTCATCACTTGATCCATATCGCACATTCTCAGGGCTGCTATCTTCATCACTAGAAATTTTCGAAAAATTTCAAATTGCTTTAACATTTAGAGAAAGCCTTGTAAAAATTAAATTCAATTTTTATATATACCTTCCACTTCTTGGACAAATCATCACTAATGTCACTTTCATTTTTTGAATTATTTCGATTTTGACTCAACTCCAAACCACTACGAGATAATGAACTTTTTCTTGTATGATTAACTCTAAAACATTAAATAGTCATTGAAAATGTTTGGAGTTATAAATATCAAGATTGTATAGTTGATTTTAAATTACAATTGAAATATTCCTATAATGAACTTATTTAAAACTTAATTAAAACATAATTATTATACACTTACTCATTATTAGCTTGATGTGATTTGTCAGTAGAATTATTAAGACTCATATTCTGATCCGGTGTTGACCTAATAGAAGGACGACCTTTAATTTTGTTTATTGGTGTTGACTGTTAAATTGAATTCAATAATTAATATCTAAAAATGCTGTAAGAATTTTTAAGTAGGAATTTAATACTTACTTGAGACATAACATACAACAAGAATGTATTTAAAATATTATATAAAAATCAAAAATTTAAATAAATATTAAATATTCACATATTAAATAATTTTTGTATCACAAATACTAATCAAACTAATACTTAAAATAAAATTATAAAACAAGAGGTTATAAGAAATTCGCACTACATATTTATTTCACGATAAATATTTTGTTTATACCAGTTTTGATATGACATCTATATGTCTAAATACGGAACTAACTTCAGATAATAGAAAACAGGGGTTTGAAACCATTCCATAAATGGAAGTAAGCGTTGAGAAAATAAAAATGCTGTACGGGTTTTGTTTTGACTAAGATTTGATTGCCAGTTATATATTTATTTTTTTTTTCAATGTAATATTGAAATTATTTCGTAATTCTACGAATTCCGAAAGTGGTAACCATCGACGTTTTGATTTTTGAATTTAAAAATGCATTATAAAATAACAGTTATATTCAAATATCTTATGATTTTAGTAATTTTATAACCAAAAATATCAATATTCAAATTCAATATTTCAATGTTCTACTCATATTGTCGAGGCTTGAAACACCAGGCATACCCTACAGACCCTAGGCCTAGGCCATTCCTAGGCAATATAATAATACATGTTTGGAACAAATAGAAAAAC